TCCAGAGGACATCAGGATCCACTGCCTTGTCACCAATTCCAGAGGAATAAGGTATCACCCCTTCCTTTCCCAACCAGGGCCACACAGAGCCGGAGGCAAAAAGGACCATCAAAAATATCCAGGCGGTAAGGAATAATGTAATACAACAATTTATCATTGCTCAATACTCAGCAACTGATCACCTGCATTTCCTAAGTGCTAACCTAATAAGGGAAACAGGTGCCTTAAATAAACTACCTCCAGCAAGGCTTGCCTAAGGAAAACAGGTGCCTTAAATGAACTACCTGTAATGAGGCTTGTCTCAGATAGAAATTAAACAGGGTACTAAGGCCAGATCTACCTCAGGTAAATGTCACATGCCTCTATCTGGGCAGGCCAGATCTACCTCAGACAAATGCCAACTCTAAAATAAAATAATAATGATTCTTTCTCTCTAAGCTCTTTCTATGTCAACAGTATCTTGTTAAACAGAAGGTCCCCAACCACAGCACAGATGGACAGCTGCAGAACGAGGAGACAGCAGAACATCATTCCAGGACCTCCACCATCATCCCCGGACTTCACAAGATACCCCTCATCCCCCCCCCCCAAGAGCCAACCAACGCCCACTATTCAGCTGGAAGCAGTCTTTGAGAGAAACGTCGTCCCCGTACCCAGTCAACCACAAATTTTTTCTTTTTAAAAAGGAAATAGTTGGGAATGAAGGGTTCACAACATGCCCCCACGGTCGCATATACTAGGCAGACACTTCCGCCTAGCCAATTCCAGGTCAGGAGAGGCAGTTCCGGGTCAGGGCATCTCTCCTAACCAGGATACCCGGCGGACCTGGACACCTCCGCCTAGCAAGTTCCGGGTCAAGGCGTCTCGCGTAACCAGGATCCGTGACATTACATGGCCACATAAGCGCGCAATGTGACCTGTGATCTACGCACACGCGTGGAGTAGTGATGTGACCTGGCCACGCCACCAGCGGTTTTAAAGCGGAGTGCCATGTTCCCAGTCCCCTCTTCTTCTCCACGCACATGTCTCTCCCACAGGCCTGTGCACTCTCTATCCCTTTATCTCTTAATAAACCCTTAGAAGCAGATTCTGTTGTGTTTTGTGACACTTCCTTGCAGGGTAAGAACACAACGCAGCTAAATAACTAACACCCTATCCTTCAGGACCAGGAACCTTTCCTATTACCCCTTTGAAAGGTGTGAGAGCATTTCTCTGGCCAAAGAGGTCACACACTCTGAGCCATTTGGCCACATGAATGTATGATTTTTGTCATTCTTATCCAAAGGTCAGTAGAAGTTACAGTCATAGCCATATACTAAGGAGGAAAAATATCTTCTGATCACTTTCCTTAGAATTGTCTAGCACTCTCCAGAGCTCCTTACACTAAACTGTCTTCTCAGTCTGGAGTGATCTTAGACATCTCTGATGGTCTGGGTGGGCCCACAAAAATCAGTGGGCTTTGGTTAGGAGATTGGGAGGCACCTGTTTCTCACGCACCCATCCCCCACACTGTCCCATGTTCCCTGGGCCATTCCTCCCACAAGCTCAGCCTCTGACACTGCAGAATTTGGCAGCTCTGCCTCTAGTCATTCCCCATTGCCAGCTTAGTGAGCCTCACCCTGCACATGGAGGAGGAGAAGCAGGAGCCCCAAGACCACAGCATTCAGCCAGCTACGAAGTTGATTCAGTGGCATGACAGCTCTCATCCTGAGTCTGTGCTGCTACATAGGACACCAATGTTTCAAAAACAGGAAGCAGAATCTGTGGGCTTGGCCCAGGCAGGAATTTAAATCAAAAGGATGTAGGCGGGAACTTGGTGTGGTGGGGCAAAGTTCTCATTGTTTAAAAACTGATTAGTCAGAAGTGACGGGAGCCAGTGGCAGGGAGTTACTGCAAAGTCACCTCTTCTATTTCCTTTTCCTCCGACCTCCTGGAAAGGCACAGCATGGATTCTGAAGCTCTTCTGGGATACTAGGAACCCTGTCCTCACTCCTGGGCAGAAATCTGTAACAGGAGGAGCTAGAGGGCTTCTATGAGTAAGTATTCACTCAAGATGTCACAGGAGAGACAGGCAAGTAAAGAAGCTCTGTGACCTTCATCCTCAAGACTCCTCTGAACTGGAGCCTGCTCCAGGGTCCCTAGTACCTACAATGACCTTAGAGTTAGACACCTCCATGTTAGGTCACAGTTGTTTGATCAAAACACAGTGCAATTCTGTTCTTTTAAAGTCCACAGCCCCTGTTTACTCCATCCTCATGATGTGTCTCCTCTAGTAGACAACTCTTGTCAAGATCAGCTTCACAGTCATTTATCTATTTAACAAATGTTTCATTGTTTGAGTTTATTTATTTACTGTGTTCATGTTTCTTTCTATTTATTTTTATTTCATGAAAAATTTATTTTCTTTTTTTATGAAGGATTTTTTTATTCATTTTACACACCAACCACAGATCCCCCTCTCTTCCTTCCTCTTGCCTCTCCAGGCTTCCCCCTGCCCAACCCACCCCCTATTCTCTCCTTCAACAAGATGAGGTCTCCCATGGGCAGGTACAAAGTCTGGTACATTCAGTTGAATCAGGCCAAGGCCCTCCCCCTGCATCAAGGATATGCAAGACGTCCCACCATAGGTAGTGGGCTTTAAAAAGCCAGCTCATGCACCAGGGATGGATCCCGATCTCACTGCCAGGGGCTCCTCAAGCAGATCAAGCTACACAACTGTCTCACTTAAGAAGAGGGTCTAGTCCAGTCCCATGGAGGTTCCAGAGCTGTTGGTCTAATGTTGATGAGTTCCCATCAGTTTGGTTTGGTTGTCTATGTAGGTTTCCCCATCATGATCTTGATGCCCCTTGCTCATAGATTCCTTCTTCTCTCTCTTTGACTGGGCTCTCAGAGCTTGGTGTGGTGCCTGGCTATGGATCTCTGCATCAGCTTCCATCAATTAGTGTATGAAGGCTCTATGATGACAGGGTATTCACCGATCTGATTATTGGAGTAATCCAGTTCAGGCACCCTATTACTGTGTTCACGTACATATGGAATAATTTGTGTAAGTTCCTTCCTCTATGTAAGTTCCTCTAATTCCACCATATGGAGCCCAAAGTGGAACTTAGGTCATCAGGGTTGGAGGAAAGTTCTCTTACCACCCCTTGATCAATATTACAAGTAACCATATGACAAACACTTAATGGGCTTTGATAGCTCCAACACTGGGGTCAATCTGATGTCTCAGAACCTATGATAAACCAGAGATAAAAGTCTATAAATAGAATTTTCAGAATCACAATAAAATGTTGACATGATATACCAAAGGATGCAGGATCAGAAGTCCATATTCCATCCAGACTGATTTCCTAGAGGAAGTGGTGTGGGGATCAGTGTCAGTCGCCTTTACTGCCACCTGAGAATTGACCTTGGCTCCAAATTATCTTCATTATTATCTAAATAATAGTTTATAGGCTAACAGCATAGCACTGTGGGACTTCCTCTTTGGTGTCTGGCTGGCTGTTTACCTGGCACAACACAGCTCAGCTTTTCCTGCCTCCTCTAATCAACAGGGGCTCCCTATATTCCATGTCACCTTTTCAATGTACTCTTGTCCTCTCTGTGGTCCTAGCCTTTCTTGGAAGATATTTTCTCTACTCCAAGTTCCCAACCAAAGAAAGATCTGAACAATGCAAGCTGAGAAGTAGCCAGTTCCTTGAATCTCAGGATGAAGGAACTAGATTCCCAATGTATCATGGACATTGCTGTGCTTCTTAAGCCCAGACATGTTTGTAGCTCAGCTAGGGAAATCCCTGTGTGCTCTGCTACTCACTGCACCATCACTCAGAGCCCCTGTGTTGATGATGATCACGGCCACAGTAAAAATGTGAAATGAAGAAGATATTCATGCTCTGTTCTGTGGAGGGAGGCAGGAGTGAGTACGGAGAGCAAGAGAGAATGAAAAAAGAGATGAGATAGATAGGTAGATAGGTAGATAGATAGATAGACAGGGAGAGTAGAATGTAGGAGCTCAAGTCCATGAAAATTCCTTCAATGTGATATTACTATATCCTTGCTCAATAATCAGATTTAAGACCCATAGAGTCAAGTGTTGGCAAAGACATGGAGCTACTGGCACTACATACACCACTGGAGGAGATACAAAATTATATGGTCATTATAGATGTCAGTTAGACAGCTCTTTTAAAAGCTAAACACATTTATCCTGTGAATGAGTAGTTTTACACTCTGGTCTTTAGTTCAAGGAATTGAAAACACCAATTACAGAAACTCATACTTCCAAAGGTCATAAGAGCTTCAATAAAAGCAGTGAAAATCAGGTCACTCAGGTGTACATCAACTAGGGACTGGGTAAAATATGTTGTGTGCATATATGGAAAGACAGTGTTAACTGTTAACCAAATAGAGCACACTTGAATCTTCAGGACCTCTTACTCAGTAACAGGACCAGTCACATAAAAATCACTTTCTGAGATAGGATAGCTAGGACTCTTATGTTTCTAAATTGTATGCAGTTTTCAAACAGAACCATCAGAAAGTGGTTGCCCTGGAGCTGAGACCAGGCAATGACTGACAGAGAAGAGCTCAAGGGAACTTCATCAGGCCAAAGTAGGAGACTCATACTTATGTGAAAATGATTGCATAGCTCATATTTTTATGCAAAATTTGCCCATCTATGCTGGTAAGTAGGCAAATTTGGTTGCATAGAAATCATTGACAGAATCAGAGATTCTAAAAAGTGACACTGGGGATAGGGGCAATAAAAAGTACAGAATAGAGGAAGAGAACATAAGGGAATGGAATGGTAGAGCTGGAACAGGGTTGGAGTGGGAGAGCAATGAAAGAGATAGCATTATAGAGGGAGACATCATGGGGATAGAGAGAAACTGTGTGCTAGGGAAGTTCTAAGGAATCCACAAAGATGACCCCAGATTAAATTGCTAGCAATAGTGGAGAGGGTGCCTAAACTGGCTTACTCTAGTAACCAAATTGGTGAATACCCTAACTGTTATCACAGAGCCTTCATTCAGTAATTGATGGAAGCAGATGAAGAGATCCACAGCCAAATACCAGGCAGAGCTCTGAGAGTCCAGTCAAAGAGAGAGAAGAGGGATCTTATGAGCAAGAGACCTCAAGATCTTGATGGGGAAACCTATAGAGACAACCGAACCAAACTAGTGGGAACTCATGAACATTAGACCAACAGCTGTGGAGCAACCATGGGACTGGACTAGAACTTCTGCTTAAGTGAGACAGTTGTGTAGCTTGATCTGCTTGAGGGGTCCCTGGCAGTGAGATTGGGATCCCTCCCTTGTGCATGAGCTGGCTCTTGGGAGCCCATTACCTATGTGGTGAAACCTTGTACAGCCATGATTTGGGGGGAGGGGCTAAGACCTGTCTCAGCTGAATGTACCAGCCTTTGCTAACTCCTCATGGGAGGCCTTATCTTGTTGGAAGAGGGAATGTGGAATGGGCTTGGGGGGAAGGCTGGAGGGGCAGGAGAAGGGAAGAGAGGGGGATCTGTGGTTGTTATGTAAAATGAACAAAAAATTCCTTAATAAAAAAATGTCATAGCTACTGAAAGTCTAAAGACAGTTTGGTAAAGTGTCCTGTATGTCAGCAGAAATGGAGACCTCACAGATGCATGGGTGCAACAGGAGCTCAATAAAGTCCCCTGTAAAAGTATCTGGCAACTGTCCACCTGGACTCAAAGGAAAGAATCTTCGCTGACCATCTACTGATCCAAGGCTTAATGATACTCTTGTCTTTCTTCTGCTCCCTGGTGTTTGCAATGTGGAATATAAAAATCATCCCATCCACGAATAAGATTTAATATCTCCCCTCCATACTCCATGTGTGTTCAGGCCCTGCTTAGGCAAATGTTCTCTCTGTCCTCAACTCCCTTTCTGGTGAACATCTGGGCTTTGGAAACTGAAAGGACCACTCCACCTGATTCTTCTAAGCTCAAAAACATGGGAGTAGCATTTTTTATGTTATCAGGAAAGCCTGGTGTGTCCTCTTAATTCTTGGCTGCTGTGTAGCATAAAGAGGGGTAACAGCCTTCTGTGTTCTCTCACCCAGTGCACCATCATTCAGAGGTCCTTCATTGATGATGGTGGAGACCATAGTGAACAGGTAGAATGAAGAAGACTCAAATTCTGTGTGTGGTGGAGGGGGTGGTCTGCAATCTTTCATTTGTAGGCAGGAAGAGTGAGATGGACTGAAGCCTACAGAGTCCTCTTCATGGAGATACTACTGCATATGCACACACTCAGTGTTGGCAAGGACAGGGAGCCACTGGCATGCTCACACATGAGAAAATGTAAAATGGTGTAGTCCCGTAGAAAGACAGGCTGACCTCTTCTTCAAAGGTTAAACACACTTGTGCTGGGACTCAGCAAATCTACTGTTGTTGATATAGCCTACTTAAATTACCAGCATGCCTTTTTGTAGCATGAATCTTAGCAGGTCTTATTAATAAAATCAAACCTGAGGCCAGTTATTGGGGTGAACACTGGAAGAACAGAGAGACAGAACAAGCCACAGCTAACCTCACTTGACCAACTTCTCAGCTGATCTTGTTTCCTCAAACTGGATGCCACTGAGTCCTCATCCAGAATGAATCTCAGCTGAACTGCTGCTCCAAAGCCTGAAAGCTTAACCAGCCAAATGCTTAACCAGCCAAATGCTTCTAGTTTCTGGTTGTCACGCCTTATATACCTTTTTGCTTTCTACCACCA